GAACTCCCCCAGTTAGATGCTGAACCCCGACTTAGCAAGTAGGGACTGGCCGGAGGAAAGCGCTGGCGTCGGGGAACCTCCGCGCACGCGTCCGCACATCCCGCGTCACCGGCCTCGCTGCTCGCGCGTGACTTGCTGCTGTCACACCTGCGCGGGGTGCTGGGTGCCGAGCGCGACCCCGGGGCCACCGGTCGATTTCCGCGGGTGCCCAGATCTCCACTTAGGGAGCCTGGGAACAAGGAGAGTCGCCTGCATGCACAGACTGCGTGTGTGCACACCTGTGCTCCTGCACCCACGCGTGTGCACGGGCACGCACAGGTACGCACCCCACGCGCACACGCGCACAGCTGCGTAGTGCTTGGTTTGAGGCCCGGGGAGCGCCCTGTCAGCCTGGAGCTCCGCTGGGTGCAGCTCAGAGCCTAGTTCTGGAACAGACAGTGGAGCAGCAACAGACCGGGTGGGTGGGGATCCCCATCTGTGGCCTCTCCAAGCCGGGGTCCCTTCCAGAAAACGCCATTCCTCCTCGCGCTCCCTTTCTCCCCCTTTTCTCCCACGGCCCTCCCTTTGGCCACCTTTCGGGGCACACAGCAGCAGCCGTGTCTTTGAAAGGGGTAGGGGGCGCCAACTGGGGGTCCGAACACGGAAGTGGAGAATAAGGGGATAAGGGGGCGCATGGAAGGACCATCCGGACAAGGGAGTTCAACGGACGGGGCTTTCCCCGCCTTAGGGGTCGCGAGGGCCTTGTAAGCCCAGGCTTCCCTAGAGGTCACTGTCTAAAGGGCGCCCCAGGAGTGTTCGGAAGCGGGGGGGGGGCCTTCTCCTTCGGGAATAACCACGGACTGGTCCCCCCACCAGACGGCTCAGAATAAAAGAGCAGCTGGCAGGGGAGGCTCGGGGAGAGGGACAGAGGGAGGGGGTGCAGCAGCACCTTCCCTTGCTGTTGACGCTGGACTGGCTGGACTGGAAGCAGCAGCGCTGGGACGCAGGTGTGTCTGCGCTGGGCCGTGCCCAGCCCGGCGCTGCCTGGGTTCCCGCCGTGCCACCCAGCTTGCCCCAAGGTCGGGGCGCGCAGGGAGCAGGCTCGCTGCTCCCACTGGGCTAGAGAGCCGGCCCCAGGTGACCGCTGGCGCGTCACCCAGGTGGAGGTCCGAGTGTGCTGGGGACGCCCGTGGGCCCGAGACCAGTGCGCCGCCTGAGTCCCCGGCAGCGGCAGCCTGGGACACGAGGGCGAGCCGGGCGCGCCTCGGCGGCCACGTCTGCGGTGGAACCCAACGTGGGGTGGCCCGGGCAGGCGGCCCCCAGCCCCTCCGGTTCTGCATGGCGTCTGGGCCTGCGGCGGCTGGGCTGCGTGCTCAGAAAGGCCACGCTCTCGCCCCGTGGACGCCGGACTCCGGCTCCGCTTCTCTCTGCAGGTCTGGGCGGGGGCTTCGGATACGTGGTCGGGGGCATCCACTGGGACAAGACCAGCTTCGGGAGCGCCCTGGGCGGGCAGCTGCGGGTCATCTACGTCTTCACGGCCGTCACCCTGAGCATCACCACCGTGCTGACCCTGGTCAGCATCCCCGAGAGGCCCCTGCGGCCGCCCAGCGAGAAGCGGGCGGCCCTGAAGAGCCCCAGCCTGCCGCTGCCCCCCTCCCCGCCCACGCTGCTGGACGAAGGCGCCGGCGAGTCCCTGCCCAGCCACGCGGCCACCAGCCTGTACGCCAGCTTCTCGGGCCCCATCTCCCCGCTCAGCCCCCTCACGCCCAAGTACGGCAGCTTCATCAGCAGAGACAGCTCCCTGACGGGGATCAACGAGTTCGCCTCGTCCTTCGGCACGGCCAACATCGACAGCGTCCTCATCGACTGCTTCACGGGCGGCCACGACAGCTACCTGGCCATCTCCGGCAGCCTGCCGCGACAGGCCATCAGTGCCAGCTTCCCCCGGGCCCCCGACGGCTTCTACGGGCCGGACGGTGGCCTCGGGGACCGGCGGGAGGGCGGCCTGAGCTCCGGCCCCGACGGCGACGTCCTGAGGGTGGGCTCCCTGGACACCTCCAAGCCCAGGTCGTCCGGGATCCTGAAGCGGCCCCAGACCCTGGCGGTGCCCGACGCGGCGGGGGCCGGAGGCCCCGACACCAGCAGGCGAAGGAACGTGACCTTCAGCCAGCAGGTGAGAGCCAGCGCCCCCAGCCCCGTCACACCCGCCCAGGGGGGTTCCCCACAGCCCGGCTGGGTGAGGGGCTCTGACCTAAGTCCTCCAGAAAGCGGACCGAAGCCAAGCCCAGAGTCTCAGCCTCCCAGAAGCTGTGAAACTCTACGGGCACGAGTGGCCAGTCTCCTGGGTGCTGCTGTAGGGAAGATCTCCGGGCGCTGCTGTAAGGAAGATCTCGGGGCAGATGGGCTGGGGGCTGGGAAGGGACAGCTCAGTGCAGCCCAGCGGGGAGGGAGCAGGGCTCAGTCTGCGCAGGCCTGGGGGTGGGGGGCAGGCAGGGGCTGTCTCCTCACCCACACCCCGTCCCGCCTGGCCATCTTGCCCCACGCAGGCCGTCAGGTGTCCCCCAGGCTGGAGACTCCCGGACTCTGGGAGGCTCCTGGAGCACTTTTGAGGCAGCTGCTCACTCTCTCGCTTGTTGGGGTTTTGGGGTCCCCTGTCCCTTCTGTGGCATCACGCCTGGTAGCCTTAACACCCTCGGTCACCTCTGAAGAGGAACATGGCCCCGTCTGAGTGGGGTGTGGTGTTCAAAACAGCTCTCACGAACTCTCAGCTCTGAAAGGGCCTGGAGGACCCCTGAAAGCCAGGACACCCCGTTACTAGCCAAGGGGTGGCTCTTCGCTCCCCACGACCCCAGCTGCTCGGGGCTTGATCTCCAGTGGGGGTGTGGTTCCAACTGGCTCCCGCCGGCAGGCCCTGTCACCCTGAGAACGGGGACCCCTCCCCGGCCTGGAACAGCCTCTCACTGACAGGGCCAGAGCGCTGCCCTGCCTCCTCCTGAGGACACCCCCCTCCCAGCAGGGCCGGCGTCCCGGGCACCGCAGCCCCACCCAGAGGGAGGCCTCACGCCTCCGCGGCTCCGGGAATGTCAAGCCTGAGCCCCAGAAAGCTGTCAGAACACCCCCACTCCAGTAGCACGGCAGTGGGTGTGTCAGGCTGTGTGGTCCCCAGCCCCGGCCCTGGGCAGCCCTACCTGCACCTGTGGCCACCTGGCTGCCGGGGGTGGGAGGCTCCCTCAGCCCCCTGAACGAGTCTTTCCATCCTGCTCGAAGGCCCGAGGTCTGGTGGGCCCGCGCTGGCCCGGTCCTCACCCCAGTTCGCAGCCCCCGCTGGTGCTCCCGCGGGGTGGAGGCTGCCTCTGGGGGGCTGGCTGCCCGCAGGGGGGCGCTGCCCTGGGGCCCTGCTCCGCCGCACCTCGGTCCCGGCGCGCCCCTCACCCAGCGGCCCTTCCAGGTGGCCAACATCCTGCTGACCGGCGTCAAGTACGAGAGCGAGCTGGCGGGCGCCGAGCCCGCGGCCCCCGCGCTGTCCCTGCGCCAGCTCTGCGCGTCCATCTGCAGCATGCCGCGGGCGCTGCGCAGCCTGTGCGTCAACCACTTCCTGGGTGAGCCCCAGCCGCGCCCCAGCGCCCCAGACCCGCGACGCG